GAGGAACAGGCAGGCAGGGCAGGCAGCTTTTGGAGAGTGCTGGTTGCAGATCTAGTCTCCATCCGTGGCAGCATTTGTTGGATTTCGCAGGGTCCAGAGAGGTTACAGGTTGTTTTTACTTTTAGAGGATGACTTTGTTGGCGCCGTGTGGACGGGTAAGCAGGGACTCAGTGGGAGCAGGACTCGGTGGGGAGCAGGGACTCACTGGCGAGCAGGGACTATGGGGGAGCAGGGGACTCGGGGGAGGCAGGGACTCGGGGGCAGCAGGGCTCAGGGAGATCAGGGAATCAGTTTTGGGGAGCAGCGGACTCAGGGATGGAAGCGCAGTAGCCCACGGTGGTGTGGAATGTGGACATGCAGTGTCCGTGGGATGAAGAGGGAGCAGGGACTCAGGGGTGAATGCAGTAGCCCGCGGTGGTGTGGAATGTGGACGTGCACTGTCCGTGGGATGAAGAGGGACCAGGGAGACTTGTCTAGGAGGCACCAGCTGTAGGTCACGTGAGTCTTGGTTTCTGACCTGGCCGATGGTGGTACCACTCGTTGAGATGGGGAGTGAATGTGGTCAGCACAGTTTATTTCAGACATACATTTGAGGTGCTTTTGGAACATCCAGGTTGGAATGTGTAAAGGCGAATGGGTAGAATAGGTGAGATTAGTTGTCTGTTGCTGCAAGACGGCATTATCACTCAGTGGCTGAAACAGTACAGATGCGGTATTTCAGTGTCTGTGGGTCGAGAGTCAGGCCAGACTGGGAAAGAGTCCACTTCGGCGCTCACCTGGTTGTTGGCAGCACTTGTATTCCTGCCACAAGACCCTCCCTGTGTCCTCACAGCGTGGCAGCTGCTTCTGCAAGGCCAGAAAGCGGGAGAGTCTTCTCATAAGGCAGGCGTCACAGGCTTGTGCCTTGCAGTCACACAAGTGTTGTCCCGCCACCTTGCCATGTTCCTTCCCCTGGGTAGAAAACAAACCGTGGGCCGCACTCACACTCATGGAGAGGAGCCTTTACAAGGGCGTGACCACCAGGAGGTGCGGGTCGTGGGGACTCTTAGAATCTCTCTGCCACAGTACTGGTGTTACTCCCACTTTATGGAGAACTTCTTGCTGAAGGTCAAGTTACAGCCTGGATTCAAATACGTTTTGGCTGCAGCATGTGTGCTCTTAGCTCCCTCTGTCCAATTTCTGGCCTTTGGTAGAAGGTCCTGAATTGCAGGGGATAGATTTAGGAATTACTGGTTTATAGGTACTGAAACCATGAGTGTAGAAACTTCAGTGTCTGTGTGAGTCATCTGGGGATCTTGTTAAAATGCATATTCTGGCCGGCCGCAGTGGCTCACGCCTGTAATCCCAGCACTTTGGGAGGCCGAGGCAGGTGGATCATGAGGTCAGGAGATCGAAACCTGGCTAACATGGTAAAACGCTGTCTCTACTAAAAAACACACACACAAAAAAAATTAGCCGGGTGTGGTTGCGGGCGCCTGTAGTCCCAGCTACTTGAGAGGCTGAGGCAGGAGAATAGCGTGGACCTGGGAGGTGGAGCTTGCAGTGACCTGAGATCACGCCACTGCACTCCAGTCTGGGCGACAGAGTGAGACTCCGTCTCAAAAAAGAAAAAAAAAGTGCATGTTCTGCTTGTATAGGCCCCGGGAAGGGGCTGAGATTCTGGATATCCCAGAAGTTTCCAGGTGACTGCAGACCACACAGTAGAAGCAAGGATGTGGATGAGATTGCTTAGGGTGATTGGATGGGTGAGAAAGGTCAAGGAGAGAACCTTGAGGTGTGTACCAGCTTGGTAGATATTTTAGGAAGAATGTTGGGGTGAGAAGAAGGTCAAGCACAAAACGCTGGAAGCGCCACTATTTTAGAAGAAGGTAGTAGAAAGGTGGGATGGGGAGATCTCTCCACCCAGTCTGCTGCACTCAGGGTTTCGTGCTGCGGTTCTGTCCGGGATATTCAATCTTAGAAGAACCTAGTAGAAAACTCTCATCTACCACTGCCTTCATTATCTCTTATTCTGTGTTTATACGTAAAGAAATAGAATTGCAAAGATGAAATAGCCTTTGCATAGTTTCCTTTTATTATCACCTAACTCAATTCCTGCTGGGCGCAGTGGCTCACGCCTGTAATCCCAGCACTTTGGGAGGCAGAGGCGGGTGGATCACCTGAGGTCAGGAGTTCGAGACCAGCCTGATCAACATGGTGAAACCCCGTCTCTACTAAAAATACAAAATTAGCCAGGCGTAGTGGTGCACACATGTAATCCCAGCTACTCAGGTGGCTGAGGCAGGAGAATCACTGGAACCCAGGAGGCGGAGGTTTCAGTGAGCCGAGATCGCACCATTGCACTTAAGCACAACAGCGAAACTCTGTCTCAAAAAAAACGGAAAACCGAAAAAACCTCAATTCCTGTTACCAGCTGTACTTTTTAATTTACACTCAAATACTTAGGCAACGCGTTACTCTTTTCCTAAGAGAGGTGTCAGTGGCTAATAAATCAAGACCTTATTCCTTTTTTTTTTAAATGAGTATTTTAATTCAGTTTCAAAAAATGGTACAGGACTTTGATGAGAAAGTATAAAATTAAGAAGCTGTTCTGGAAATCCAAGAAAAAGAAATAACAATATGTTCAGTGATAATTTTCTGGATTTTCTTCTTGCGTCAAAAGCTACATATTTTCTCGTCACAAGCAGCTGCTCCAAGAACTAAGTAGCCCTCTTGATCTCCCTCTAGCTGGGACAGACTGATTCCCCTCCCACCACTTCTCTTCTTTCATTAACACTGCGTAGGTGTTAATGGCCTGGGCTCCCAGCAAAGAACAGCATTGTCCTTTAGGCCAGCAGCCCACAGGCAGTGGCACCCAAAGCCTCATCCCCCATCCCCAGGGCAGAAGCCACAGAGCTGGCATTGTTTCCACTGTTTCAGGAAGGAGGAGCCAAGAGCTGACCCTCAGCACAAATCAAAGCCCAGTATGGAGAGAGAATAACTGCTGCTAGGCCGAGAGTAGGCAAGCTGTGGGCAAAAAAGGGGAGTTTTTGCAGCCACCGCATTTTTAGAAACAAGGGGAAAACTAGACCCTTTTCCACGATTATAATCTACAAGGTAGTCTACTGCTCCGAGGGGATCTGAAAGTACAAAAGGATCTAAACAAATAAGGAGAACTTTTCCCAGGCTGGAGATAGGAATGACAAACAGAAAGATGGGTGAATGTAACGTGTAGGAAGATGATGCTGGGAACCTCCGTTCTTCACATGGCTGCCAGCCCCATAGAGGACAACACAGTAAGAACCAGGGCAGCCACTCCAGACTGGTATACGTGGGGAATCTTGAGGCCTTTTCCTAGGTCCCACATCAAGTGTTGGATCCCATTCCAGGTGTGATACGTGAGAGGGAAGACGAGTGCAGACTTAGCTGTGTGGATCAGTGCTGGCCCCAGACACAGGGACTTCACGAATTCCAAATAAGACTCAAAGTTCCCGGGGAGTAACAGGGCCGACGTGCCAAAAAGAGAGACTCCTGCACTGAAAGCAATACCAGTGCCACGGCGGCCGATGGACATCACCACAGGAAGAGACCAGCTGTAGATAGTGATGTGGGGAGACACAGCACGGTTTGAACCTATATTCTTATTCCAGAACCGCTCTTATCTCTTCTTTTGCCGTGGTTCCCAAGGGAACAGCATTTCTGATACAGAGCTGAGGGCCAAAGTGGGCTTGGAGGTAATGACAACAAACACGTCTCAGCAAGAGTGCAGCCATCTCGGGTTCCTTTTTTTTTTGCAACAGAGCCTCACTCTGTTGCCCAGACTGGAGTGCGGTGGTGTAATCTCAGCTCACTGCAATCTCTGCCTCCTGGGCTCAAGCCATCCTCCCACCTCAGCCTCCTAAGCAGCTAGGACTACAGGTGTGCACCACCACGCCCAGCTATTTTTGTGTTTTGTGTAGAGGTGGGATCTTGCTGTGTTGCCCAGGCTGGTCTTGAACTACTGGGTTGAAGCATTTCTTCCACTTCAGCCTCCCAAAATGCTGGGATTACAGGCGTGAGCCACTGTGGCCAGCCAAGACCTTATTCTAGTTAAATTTTTATTAAACCATTTCAAGCTCGGTGTACATTATCAGAGGAGGAAACATGGGAGGTTGTATTAATTTCCTAGGGCTACCATAACAAATTACCACAAATCAGGTGTCTTCACACAGAATGTATTCCCTCAGTTCTGGAGGCCGGAAGTCTGAAATCGAGGTGTCGGCGGGGCTGTGCTTCCTCTGGAATCCTTCCTGGTCTAGTCCGGCTCCTGCTGGCTCCAGCAGTTCTTTGCCTTGTGGCAGCATGACTTCAGTCTCTGCCTCTGTGTTCACATGGCTGCCTCCTCTGTGTCTCTACGTCTCTCCTCTTCTTTTTTAAGGATACTTACTGCACACTGGATTTAGGACCCACCCTAAATCTAGGATGTCATTCTGAGGTCCTTAATTACGTTTTCAAAGACCTTTTTTGAATAAGGTTACGTTCACAGGTTCTGTTGGTCAGGACCACTGTTGAGCCCACTACAGAGGTGAGCGCTACATGACTGTGAGCAGTATGAAAAAGGTGCGATGCAGTGATGTGTGCATCTTTGTACATGTTATTTCTAAAATGTTTAAATTGTTTGTTTTTCCATTAGGAAATATGCAAAAGCTGAAACTCTTATGACGGTCACTGATCCCGTTCATGATATTGCATTCGCTCCAAACTTGGGAAGATCTTTCCATATTCTAGCAATAGCAACCAAAGATGTGAGAATTTTTACCTTAAAACCTGTGAGGTGAGTTTTCGAAGCACTTATGAATTTGAAAATACTCTTGCCTCCTGATTACCTTTGTGTGTGGAGGAGAGAGTAGAGGTAACTATGATTTGGTTTATATTTCTGCTCTGGAAGTTTTACTTAAAAATGTAAACTCTGAAATATTTTTTAAAAATGATCTTTTACAATTACTTTTAAATTAATGTCATTTTTGAAGAATGGATTATTGAATGAACATTTTATACATAAATATATGTCTTTTTGGAAAGAGGAATTGAGTAAAGAGTAGATTTATATTCTCTTAATTGTGCTTTATTTAGGCTAATACTAACAATTCTCCGAATATAACTGATATTCTATAAATATTTAATGACAAGTGGCAGTCTAGGGAAAACTAAATTAGTATTGATACAGTCTTGTGAATAACATATTTAACTTTAATTTTGAATTGTGAATTCCAGTTCTTTTCTTTCTGTTCTTTCATTCTTTCCTACTTGCTGCCCTGCCTTTTTTTTTTTTTTTTTTTTTTTGAGGCAAGGTCTCGCTTCATCGCCCAGGCTGGAGGGCAGTGACATGATCTTGGCTCACTGCAACCTCTACCTGCCAGGTTCAAGCAATTCTTATGCCTCAGCCTCCTGAGTAGCTGGGACTACAGGCGCCCGCCACCATGCCTGGCTAATTTTTT